GCGCCAGATCTTCTGCTCCATGGTTTCCCGATTGTTGGGCCAATCGCCCGCTCGAGGCGTTGGCCAGTACCGTGTACCTGTTCAGGCAGCTCTGGACAGGGCCTGGGACTTGCGCAAGAAGATCGTCAATCGAGTCAGAGCAGTTCCAGCTAGTGACAATCTCCAGAAAATCTGGGATGCCACAATCGAGGATGTTGAGGAGGGCTCCACTCTTGGACCGTTCACTCACCCTGAGCAGGTGTCTGAGCTCCTTCGATGTGAGGACTGGATCCCGACTCAAAGATTCGAGGTCGTCCTAAAGAACAGAGTTTGCGGCTGCGACAGCGCCACAACAAACTTGATCAACCAGATCACCATCATCACGGAGAAGCTGCAACTGCCATCGACAGATACCAATGTAGCAGCTCTGAGAAGACTGCGTTCGGCAATGCCAGGGGCGAACTTCGCTGGTTGGGTGCTAGATGAAAGAAAAGCCTATCGGCCAGACCTGATCACAGAAAGTTCAGTGTGATTTGCCTGAAGTGCCCAGTCTCGCTCGAGCCGGCTTTCTTTGTGATGGTTGGCCACTCAGTTGGTTTGGTCTCAGCCGTCTACAACTACAACAGGAGATCGGCAGCGATCAATGAAATCCTGATGTCGTTGTTCAACTTTTAGTGGCTTTCAACTTCTACGATGACAAGTATGGATTTGAGCCGCTCGGCTCTATAGACTCAGCCTTCCTGGTGGCCCAACGTGTTCACTGGCTGCTGGGTGCGTCGTTCGATGCAAAGAAGCTTCAGCTCACGACCAAGCCAGTGATCCTTGGAGTCACCTACAACTTGGAGGACTGGGTTCTGGAGATTAAAGCCAATCGCCGCGCTGAGCTCATTGAGGAGATCGAGAGATTTCTCAGCTCCGGCGTTCTAGAACCTGGTCAGGCAGGCAAGTTGAAAGGAAAATTAATGTTTGGGGCAAGCCAACTTTGGGGCAAAGTAGGTCGAGCGTTTCTTAGATCGATTTCCGAACGGCAGTACGCTCGCTTCCCAACCTCAGATCAGTTTGTGCTCGATCGTGCCTTGGAAGAGTCCCTTAGACAGTGGCTCAAGTTAGTACAGTCAGGACCACCTAGGACGATCGAGTTGTGCTTGTTCTTGAAAGCGGACGCTGTAATTTTCACTGACGGTTTTTCCCCTGGCCCTCGTGAAGATGATCGCCGACCCGATCGGATTGGCGGAGTCTTGTTCGACCGTCGGTTGAACGCACCTGTCCAATTCACGGCACGGGTGCCTGTCAGCCTCAAGAAGAGATGGCTGATCAGGAAGACCCAGATCATTCCGGTCGAGATGTTGGCTCCAATAGTTGCTTTTGAAACTTTTTCCGATAGGCTCTTTCGAGCAGACCTCTTCATCTTCATAGACTCGGAAGTTGTAGAGGCCGCGCTCGTCAAAGGGTATTCCAGTCGTGAAGACCTGCGCCTGTTAGTCTCTGTCTTTTGGGACCTAGTTCTTAGACTACAGGCTCGTGTTTTTATCGATCGTGTGGCTACAGATGCTAATCCAGCAGACGCGCCTCACGGGACAACCTGGAGTTGGGCAGTCGCGCAGGATGGCTGACGGCACCTGCTCAATGGCCCGGATTTGCTGTCTGTCGACTGAGTCGTTCGATGTGACCTAGGGTTGGGCCTGGGTGGTTTTTGTTCTTTCAACTAATTGGTCTCGCGAAGAGATTCTCACGAGGAGAACCCACACTTGGGCCTTTGGTTGATGGTGAACATCCAACCCTTGTGTCATTTTGATAGAGACTCAGCTCGATACTCCCATGCCTTCGTC